AATTACCACTGTAGAAGGCAGAAACCCCGAGCGGCAGTGCAGGAGCCCAAGAATTACCCTTAAAACGGCCACAGGAGCTTAAAAAGACCAACTGGTCCCCAACTGGCCCGACGGTAAGTAGTTTCGGACTAGTCCCAAACTGGATCCCAACCGGACTGGTCCCCGACTGGTTACCAACTGGTCCCACGAACTAGATACCAACTGGTCCCAAAGTGGTTACCAACTGGTCCACCTATACCTCAAGTGGTCCACAAGTCACTTCACTTACAAAGCATTCGATTTAGTTGACAATAGTCAAACTACATAACGTAGACCTAAAATTTCTACAGCGAAAGTAGAACTTTGAAATCGATTTTAAGCGGTCGTTATTCATATACCCACATACATACATACATATATTACTTTTCATATCAATTCAAGTGTATTACATGCGCCCCACGCTTTTCATTTTCAATTTCATAGATTGTTTATAATGACTTTTGCTAAAATTTCAAAATCAAAAGTTATCGAAACAAATTCTATGGGACTGAGAAATATTATTTTCTACTTTTTAGTCCATTTATAAAAGCGTTGTATATTAAAAAGTTTTTTTTAGATTATTTATTTTCTACTTTTTAGTCCGGTCTGAATAAAAGTTTGCAATAGATATTAAAATAATTCAACGCTATTAATAGAAAGGTGCACACACATGCATTTACATATGTATGTACATACAAATGATCACCAATTAATTTTATTTAAAGAAATGGCGTGTCGTGTATTTCCGGTGTAGCAAACGTAGCACATAGGGCGACATCTAGATGTCATCTACCTCGCCCTATTCACTATGCTTTTTTATAGGAGCTTTTCAAAGCTTTGCTTTATGGTGTCGGACACACAACATTGAAAGTTTCTGGAACACAACATTGCAAGTTGATAAAAGCGTTGTAAAATAGGAATATTTTACATTTTTGGAAAATGGGCGTAGCTACGCCCACTTATGGTTACATGTGTATATCTTAGGAACTGCTGCACCAATTTCTTCCAAACTTGGCACAGTTGTTGGCCTTCGCACAGCATACCAAATGGCAGAAAATTTTTAAAATTTGACTATAACCACGCCCACATCCCATATAACGGTAATTTTCGGAAATACGAAAACTGCGATATTTTAGTAACTACTGAAGATTATTCACTAAAAATTGATATTCACAATTTTTGGACGAAAAATAAGAATATTATAAATTTTTGGAAAATGGGCGTAGCCACGCCCACTTATGGTTACATGTGTGTATCTTAGGAACCGCTGCACCAATTTCTTCCAAACTTGGCACAGTTGTTGGTACATCATACAAAATCGCCGAAAATGTTTAAAATTGGACTATAACCACGCCCACATCCCATATAACGGTAATTTAGAGAAATACAAAATCTTCGATAAATCAGTAAATATTGAAGCTAATTTATTCAAAATTGATGACTGCAACAAATCTTTGCCAAGAATCACGTTTATGGTAAAATTTTTGAAAATGGGCGGGGTACCGCCCACTTATGATCACATATATGTATATCGGTAACCGTTCTACCAATTTGTACCAAACTCGGTGTGGTTATTGTGCTTGCAACATGAAAGTAAAGCATTGAAAATTATTGAAATCGGACTAAAATTACGGCCGCTTTTCATATAACGGTAAATTTCAGAAATGCTTGAAACTTCAATATTTCGAAATTGAAGGACGCTAGTTTACTCAAAAGTGATACACCCCGACTTACCATCAAGCGGTAGGTTTCGGAAAGGTGAAAAAACATATATTTAATATTTGCGCCGGGTATTTAATGTTCGGCTCCGCCCGAACGTAGACTTTCTTACTTGTTAAGATTAATTTTATCACACCACATTGCTTTATTCAGCATTTATTTTTGATTCTTTGTTCAACTACTACGTTATTATACTTTAATTTACACACTACATTCACTTTGAACATCAACAATTACAGTACATTTTTTTGTGTCTTAGTAAATTTTATTATATTTTTTTTTTTTGTTCATTTATGCACTTTTTTAGTTGAGGATCACTTTGAATTTTGCATATGTAATTTTATATGTACATTAGAATTTTCGACTTCTTTTGTATGTTCTTGTATAAGCACTTATTGTACAAGCGATTTTAAGTTGATTCCGCGACGGTTAAAAAGGCTAAACTGAAAGGGAGAGTAAATAAGTACGCACAGGTACCCACCAAAGTGGCCCACTACACCACCTGTTCCTTTGTTTTGCTCTCCTTTACAGTGCATGTACACATGTATGTTTGTTTTTTTCTCCTCACACTTTCCAGGTGGTATAGTAGCATCGACGCAGGAGTTGAGGCTTAGGAAATCTGATGTAAAAATTTGCTTCCTACATTTAAGGACCACCCTAATGTACATAGCAGCACAAGTATTTAACAAATTTATTTCACACTTGCATGCAAATTAAATTTCCGACTTTGCCAGCAAATAATTCAAGTATTTGCTAACATTTACACAGATTACAACAACAACAATAAACAATCACATTTGTGCATAGAATCAGCAGCAGCAGCAGTAGCAAGAGCTATGAAAATTAATTTTTTTGATTTTTAATTTACGCAGACATGAAGATGTCTCGGTCTAGAAATTATAATTTATTCAGTGCGCTCACCCAGAGATCATCCGGCAGGCAGCAGCACAAAAAATAAAAGCAGTGGTGAGCAAGTATATACATATTGTAGTTGAAGTACTGAGGGAACGAGCGCGAATGCCACTAACAGCAAAGCCAAAAATAAAAAGGCACAAATTTTTGCAGAGCTGAGAAAGCAGGAAAAAATTAAAATTAAATAAAATTCCGCGGCACTTAGCACATCTGCTATGTGGTATGGTGGCAATGGTGGCGATGGCAGCGGCAGCAGCAGCGATGAAGTGCTGCGACAAAAGCTGAGGCATGTGCCAGCGACGCGACGTAGCGTTGGACTAGCTGGTGGTGTGAAGTGTTGGTGCGTGATTTTTGGGTGGCAAATGCGTAAAATATTTAACAAATACGCTGAGTGCAAATGTAAAAAAAAAACAAAGAAAGTAACAAGGGGGAGGGGGGGTGAAGGGGAGTGCGAGCGGCGAAGGCGGCGGGCGTGTACTCAGCATTGTCATTATGAAGTGTTTGGAATGCCGCGCTTAATAGTTGCTGAAGATGATTTATATGCGGCGGCATGTATGCATGTGCGACATATGCAACCAACTGTGGCAACTTGCTACCCCACTATAGCGTTATAGCGTAACGCATTGTCACAGCAAAGCGGGCGTTTGTTGGGGCGCGTGCTTGCGCTGGGTCGTCCGCAGCCAGACACGCTAACGTGCAGACGAAATTTTTGGAATATTCATTACACAACAAATGGGGCGCGCAATCATATACATATATATGTATGCAACTTATAATTGTGTCACAAATGCAAGCAACATAAATGCATAGATATGTATCTACATACTTGCATACGTATGTTAATTGCAACATGTGGCACTTACAGCATGTGGTCGATCCAATATGTAAGTGTATGTAAGCGTATAAATAATTCTATACTTACCCACTTGGTGCGTGCCACTCATAAATCCATTGAACTTCATTCGATTGTCCGTTGCAAGATTTATGCTCCCCAGCTTGTGCCCATTCCATTGTTATATACATACATACTTTCCATTACCCCTCTGACTCTAGTTGTGATTAAGTGAAACTCAAATTATTACTCGATTTTGCACAATAAATTATCATTTCTTTATTTAACCGACTTCCAAAAAAGGAGGAGGTTATCAGTTCGTCGGAATATTTTTTTTTTTTTTTTTTTTTTTTTTTTATGTATGTTACCGCACAACTATGGACCACGTCAACCGATTTCGATAATCGATAATTTTCGATAATTTTTTTGCATCGGAAAGGTAGTGTCTCAGAGGTGGTCCCATACTAATCTGGTTAAGATCCGATCAGCGGATCATGAGATATATATATATATATTTTTTTTATATGAGAGTTGAAGTCGGTTTTTTTTTTCTAAAAATTACTTGTTATTTATTCACATTCTTCTTTACTTTCTCCGCATAATTTTCTCTTACAAATATTTATCGTTTAATTGGTAACCAGCACTTGCGAGTCATCGCTATTGATTTACGTTAGGGTGTTTGCATTTGTGTGGTTGCTTACAGTTCTGTGTGCAGTGATTTTGTTAAACAAAAAGTAGAGACAAGAAAAAGTTATAAAGGGTGTCCTAGATCACACGTCCAGTGCCGAAGTGGTCCTGAAATAGTCCTGAACGGGCCCCCCAGACGGTGAAAAACGTCGTAAATTTGTGCTGAAATGATATCGAACACGTTCCAAACTAGTTCAAAAATGGTCCTAAACTAGTCCCGAAGATAGCAGTGAACTAGTCCAAAAATACTCACTTGTACACACAAGAAACAGTCACAAATTTTCTGCTGGGTTAACGCAAGAGAATTAAGGATGTTTGCACATCTAAAATCTTCGTTAAATGGTCGGTACGAAGGCTTCCCTTGCGGCCGTTTTCACAATGTAAGTTAACTCACATTCGGCAGTTGCCTCTAGATTTTTATAATGAAAATCGATGAGTAGAAATTTTTAGTGCAACTGAGAAATATTACGAATAAAATAAACCGAAAAAATTATAATAAGCAAATTTACTTACGGATATAGATAGATGCAATCAAATCATTAAAAAATTTTTAGCTGTGGTTTTGAATCTCAGAGTGCTTTTTTGTGTTACCACTTGCATGTATCCTTCTTCCAATCACACATCTAAACCCCGCTAATTACATGCAAACCCAGCCAGTAATACCTGTTAAAGTGTTCACCATTGCCTATAATCGTTCAACTTTATTTTTTACTATCCAAATTTTACGATCTAAGTAATTATTTTTAAAATAAAAAGCTTCAGTAATCATACAGCGCAGTTAATAATTTATGTTTTCAATTTATTAATTTTATTTATATTACAATACATTACATTGCACACGTGCACTTACATACATACACATGTATGCACAATATACATACATGTATGTACCTAGCGTAAAATTTTGCTTAGCCACAATCGTTGCCGTTAATTGCCACTTTTTTCTAGACTAAATAAATTAAACGTTCTCATGAATATACTAGATACATATTTAGTAAGTATTTATGTATAACTAGTTTTCTTTCTAATGCTATTTATACAGCTATTACTTTCTAACTATACACTAATTTAGTGCCACTTAAATGCATACATGCGTCCCATACTAATTATTATTTTTTTTTTTTTTTTTGGAACCTAACTCTACTTCGCTTGCTTTGAATTCTATTCTACGCTTCTTATTTTACGCATTTTGCCTACATAATTTCTCTTTCTGCTTACATACTTATATTTTATTTTAGACCTAAGTCTACTACTTCCATTTAATATCATTTAATAATATAATATTTACGTTATTTCATAGTTTAGCAATAATTTTTTTAAGCATTTTTACCATTTTACGATATGTACTCCACAAAAACCATGTTTTCAGTTTCACTATCCGCTAAAAAACTAATTTCAAATTCACAATTATTTTTAGTTCGCCCGAAATCTTTTATATCGCATGCGTAGCTCTATTACGCATGCTACGCACGCTGCGCGTCGCCACGCGTCTCATCCACCATGTGACTACTCATCGTCGGCGGCGTTATTGACCGCCGTTCTTCATTTTGATTGTTCTCCGTTTTAATTTTTCCTAGCATATGCCAAGGCGCCGTAACTTCTAGCGCCGTGCCACGCGTTGGGCTCTCTCCGCGTTTACTGTCTTCTCTTGTTGGTGTTGGTGATTTACTATCTGCTTGCGCATGCTCGCCGTGTGGCTGTGGCGTCATGCCGGCAAAGTTATAAGGCGGTGCCAGAAATGGTGGCAATCCTAGCAGTCCAGGTGGATATTTACCAGCATTCGAGCCATTTGGAAAATGTGGCGGCGTAAGGTTGGGAAAGGCGCCAGGGCTCAGGTCACTGGGCTAAGTGGAGAAGGTGGAGAAAGAAATGTATGAAGAAGGCAAATAAGTGGGGTGTTAGATTCAGATGAGGGCGAGAGCCGATGTTTCTAAGTATTTGTATGTAGCTATTTAGTTAGCCCAGCCTATGCAAAGATTTTTTCTACAGTCCTTAGATCAGTTTTCTCGAGTAGCTTTTAAAAATTATCTGCCCTTTAAACGCAAATTTTGTTCAAATATTCTTGCAATTTAGACCTAATTTTTACAACCGTTAGAGTATACTGTCTATATCTCTTGCGGCCCTACATTATGCGCAGCATTCATACTAATATCGGTGCAATTCCCCCTTGACCTAGCAAAATCGAACTCTCTTATGATCTTACCTTTGGCGGTAGTCCATTGAAAAATGGCGGCAAATATGGAAAAAATATCTGTGGACGTCGTTGCATAAAATCCGTCTCCGGTGGCATACTGCCCGGCCGATGTAGTGGTAACTCAAGTGACATGCGTCTACCACGTCGCGATGTGGGATTCGTCCACATATGCGTACCCATGTGAACCTGTTGAAATATTAATAAGTGAAAAGAAAGAAAGTGGATCGAATGGCTATGAATACTTTTAAAGCTGTGTATGAAGCGACTGCACTACAGATTAAGAGGTCGTTATGGTTGCCGGACTCAGTGCTGGTAGACTTATGTTAGTCATTATAACAGATTTTTTTTTACTGTCAAAAAAAAATTGTAAAGATTGCCTGATATTTGTTTAAGATTGCCCTAATTTTTGCCCTTACTTAGGGGCATTAATGAAAACAAAACCGGGACTTAAATGAACTTTTAGAAAAACGCGAAAAGCTCTGTTAAAGTCCCTTTTAAACCCAAAAAAAAACTGAAAAATTCCCAAAAGTCCCAAAAAATCTAGAAACAATTCCGATCAGATTTATCTAAGTCCTGAAAAAGAGCAAAATTCTCTTGCAAAATAACGAAATCCCAAAAAAAAACAAAAAAAAAATAGTTTCAAAATACCTCGAAAAGTCCATAAAAAGAGAGCAATATCCCGAAAACTAAAATACAAGGAATCCCTAAAAGCCATGAAAAATTTCATAATATACCTGAAACAATTCCAAAATGCACAACAAGACGAATGCCCCAAAATTACGAATTAAAACACAATAGATTGAATTCTTTTGACCAAAAGCCAGAATCAATCGGGGAATGATCGAGTAACATAGTAAGTTCTAGAGTTCCTGAAAAGGAGAAAAAAGTTCCGGAAAATTACGCCGAATCAAACATTGTTTCAAAAAAGTTCAAAACGTTTAATATTTGAAAAAATAATTTATTCTAGAGTTCCTGAAAACGAAAAAAGTTCTGGAAAATTACGCCGAAAAAAGCATTTTTTCAAAGAAATCGAAAAAGTGTAATGTTAAAAAAAAAAAAATTTAAACTAAAATTGCCCTGAGTAGCTTTTCGATAGTTCTAAAGTTCCTGAAAAGGTAAAAAAGTTCTGGAAAATTACGCCGAAAGAAGCGTTTTTTCAAAAAAGGTGGCATTGTTTTTCATGAGCTCTATTGAAAAGCTGCTCAGAACAGTTTAAATTTTTATTTTTTCAAAGATCAAATTTCTTCGACTTTTTTGAAACCATTTTTTCTTCGGCGTAATTTTGTGTTCTTTTTCCTTTTCATGTTAGAGTTCAAAACTATTGAAAAGCTACACAAAACAGTTGTATTTTTTATCAAATGTTAAACTTTTTTCTTTTTTTTTTTGAAAAATTTTTTTTTTTTCGGCGTAGTTTTGCAGACCTTTGTTTCCTTTTCAGGAACCCTAGAACTATTGAAACGCTACTCAAAACAGTTTTAATATCTTTTTTTTCAAACATATAATTTTTTCGACTTTTTTGACACAATTTATTTTCTCGGCAAAATTCTGCAGAATTTTTTGCCCTGTTCGGGAACTCCAGAACTATTGAAAAGCTACTCAGAAGGGTGTTAAATACCCTGTAGGGAAAACACGAACTAGGGAACCAAATTTCTAGCTCAGTACTAGTTCTTTTTCGCCAAAAACGAACCAGTCCGATAGTAACTAGTCCCGCACCAGGCCAAAAGCAGTTAAATGTGGTACTTTCACTAAACTATTTTATTTCAAATTTTAAACGCAGGGAAGGTAATCATTATGAGAAAAATAATTTAAATCAGCATTTAATCATCATTTTATGAATTATTATTGAGTTTTATTTTTTCGCTCAAACGGAAATAATTATTATTAGATTTTTATTTTTGGGATTACAAATAATGATTATTTTATGATTTTTATTTTTTCGCGCAGAGATTATCATTAATTTTGAGTTTTATTTTTCCACTTGAAAATAATGATAATTTATAAAATTGAAAAGGCCATACAGAGGCAACCTACTGAAATTTTGACCTGAAAAGTTTTTGTTTTATTCCTCTTATAAGGGTGCGGCTACCTCTCAAAAGGATACGTCGGTAATCACGCTGGTATAGTTTATCTGTCGAATTTAGAACTGGTTCGGAACCAGAGCCAAAGGGATGCAACGGGGGACAATTGACAAATGATGTTAAATTCGCCAGTCGCTAGCATGCAAAAGAGAATTAACGCGTACTAGTCATGGTTCCAAACGCACTAGAACCGAACCAGTTCCGCACTAGTTCGTTTCCCTACAGGGTATTTAATTTTTTGAAACATTAATTTTTTCGACTTTTTTGAAACATTTTTTATTTTTTTAATAATTTTGTAGAAATTTGGTTTCCTTTTCAGCAACTTTAGATCTATTTAAAACCTACTCAGAACAATCTAAGTTTTTATTTTTTACAAGGATTAAACTTTTTCGACTTTTGGCAAACAATTTTTTTCGACATAATTTTGTAGAATTTTTTTTTTTCATTTTCTGTAACCCTAGAACTACTCAAAAGCGGCTTTCTGGTCATCGCAAGTCATTATAGGCAAATTCTTTCTTGATCTCTTGGCAACCGTAAATAAAAGCCGATCCAAAATTATTCGAGTCAGTTTTAGGAAAGGGAGGGTATACACATGTACATATATATATATTTCCGGGGTATTGATTACACTATAAATGTAACTGCTTTATTTTCCTTCTGATGCGCGTGAATATCTTGATTGATTGATTCAATATGGCAGTTTTCCAAGCGATCGGTAGAAAACGACAAACATTTCTATTTATTTCTAACTAAAGCAACCCAACCCCTTCCTTTTATACACTTACCTTCAAATTCCCTTTGGTGGTGAATGCCTTTTGACACACATTACATTGGAAAGGCTTATCCCCTGTATGGGTACGCATATGGATTTGCAGCGCTGAGCTCGAACTGAAGTTACGACGACAAACATGACAGAAGTGCTTCTGATTCGCAGCGGCAGCAGGATCGACGCTCAAGCTAGGCGGACCGACGGACATCAGAGCCTGTTGAAAGTCCAGTGGGCTAGCGGGAAAGCGATGTGCATCTGCGGGCAGTAAAGATTTACAATGTGACGACAATTGGTGATGGGGATGCGATGACGAGTGTTGTTGTTGATGATGTTGTAGATGTTGTTGGTGATGATAATGTTGGGCGTGTCCGTAGTGCAGTTGCATGGATTGCATGGTATGATGCGGAAGTGAGGATACTAAACGCGTTAGAATCACAGGAAGGAATATAAAGGAGTACAATACAAAAAAAAACAGAAATAAGAATTGTGCATAGCGGCACAGGAATATAGGGAAAATAAGAGTGAGGCAGAATGAAGCGGTTGTTTGTGGAGTTCATCAAGTAGCTAATAAAACTTACGTAATTGCATTTGCATCAACGATTGTTCGGCATTGTTGTGTGGCAATGCCAGATGTGGATGACCAGAGAGTTCAAATGGTGAATGCGTTGGAGGTGGCGCATTCTGAAGCTCCAGTGGATTGCTGGGCGTTGCAGTTGGTGGTGGGGCGCAACCTGTCGCACCCGCTGCAACAGGTAGCGTAGGTGTTGGAGGCAGCGGTGATGGCGTTAGAGTCGGCGTTGGTGTGTTCGCTAATGTAACAGCTTGGGAGGATCTCGAAAGATCGCATTTTAGCTTTTGCGGCTCGAGTTCAGCCTCTGCATCGGGTTCTTGTTTAATGTGCTCGAGTAGCGTTGGCTCGCTTGTACGCTCCTGCTCCGCTGGACTTTTGCCCGCCACTGTATGAGCGCTCTGAAAATTTGGTATATTATTTTGATTATCTGTTGTCGATGTGCCATGCGTTGGTGTTCGCTCTCTATCTGATTCGCTGTTGGTTTGCTTAGCATAAAGATTGGTACTCACTGTAAGCTAGAAATAGAGTGAGGTTCGAAAATAAGTATTTACGCAAAAAAAAAATGTTAGCTGAATAAAAATTTCATTAATTGCGCGATTAAGAAGTAGATAATGTGTTCAGCAATGTTTTTATTGGATTAAGCGCTGCGCATATCAGTCCGTCAGTGCGATATCTCAATGAGGCAATTGCACTAGAATAAGAAAAGTCTTCGAAGCTATCTTCCCACCTTTGTCTTACGAAAGATTTATTACTGTCTTACCCAGAATTGCCTCGAAAGAAGTCGATTATACAAACTCGGGATCTGATCTAACGATTCATGGCACAGACATTAGATTCAGAACTCAGACATTAGCTTCATTGTCAAATTCATACCCAATATACATATGTAAAAAGGACTAATCAGAGGCGAAATTCTAAACGGAGAAAATTCTAAACAACCATATAAGAACTACCACCCTTGTGTCATTGCTGTTACACCGTCGGCAACATGCCTAGGTTAGGTTATCTTGGCTACCTACAGAAAAAGGGCCACTTAGGCCACCATGGGCCCATTGTGATGCCATATTAGAGACTCCTTGCGTCCCTCTTCTTACCTTAAAAATGGAACAAATTTTTAGCTCTAATGAAGAGCACAAAAGCGTAGAGTCCATTTCAGTCAGACACTCAAAAGAATAGTGGAGGAACGAGCGTCGACGAGCCCTTGCCAAAGCGGGACAGCTCAAAAACTGACGAAGGACAGGGGCAGGAATTTTCGACCCCAAGGCTAAGTACTCCATTCTCCTGGGGAACTAACGTAGTATATTCCAGGTGGCGGTTTATGCCATCAGTGCTTGCGCGGAAATCATGTTACAGAGAAAATAAGGAACGCAGCACACTTTCATCTGTAGCGAAATTCAGGCTGCATTAAAAGCCATAACCTCATGGGAGATCAAATCACGGGTGGTATAGGAATGTGTAGCGAGACTAAACACCCTGTGGGAAAACAACACACGAGAACTACTGTGAGTTCCGGGCCACAAAGGCATACAAGAAATGAGAAGGCTGGTAGACTAGCGAGAGAGGCAGCAGCCGCTCGACCTATAGGACCAGAACCCTCCCATGCATTCACACCATAAGGGAAGTGTTAAGAGCAGAAGATCGACGGCTAAGAAGAACACATTTGAAGTAGACGCTTGGACTAAGACAAACTGCGGGTCCATATGCATACCCTGGGGATTAGTGCAGACGACTTGTGTCGATACTGCGACATGGCACCAGAAATGTCACTGCATCTCCTTTTAGAATGCGATGCGGATGCGAGAAGAAGGTTAATTCATCAGGGAATAATGTGGCCAGAGGCTAGGCGTATTCACTCTCTATCGCCATCGAAACTGTTTGGATTCATTAGAGCACTATGGCTGGAAGATGTGCTATGATGAGCTCTGAGGGCACAATAGACCTAAGGTCTCAGTGCATATTATCTAACAAATATATCTATCTATGGCTACTCCCAGAAAGCAATATATATATGCACTAGCTGTCATGGAAAAGGTGAGGCTTCTGTTTTGCGCTATTTAGCCAACTCACATTGCTACACACGAGTCAGTACAGAAGACTTTCGTAGGCAATCGAGTTGGGGAACTCGAGCACTAACTCAGCAGGAAGGCGAGGGCATATCTGATGGATTCGATTAATAGTTACCCACATTGGCCGAGAACCAAATCTTCGCAGACCAGAATGCGAGGAAGTAATTCACGACACAACTTTGGTCACCGAGAGAATGGCGGGCGCAACAAATAGTGAACGGTTTCGGGGTAATGACTTGGGTAAGTAATGACTTATGGTCGAAAAGTCAGTAAAAGGAGCACACAAAGCAGAACTGCTAGCTAAAATTTACAAGCTCTGTTGGAGCAAAAGTCAGTGCAACTATCAGAAAACGACGATTGGCTGAAGAATCAACACTCGTCGAAGTAGAAGAAATGGAATTCGCCGCACGAGAGCTCAAAAATAACAATGCTTTTTTCCAACGAGACTATTTTTCCTAAACTCTCCATCTCAAAATCTTTAAAATTTCGTTATACTTACATATCTATTTCGCCATCTCTTCTCGTTCTAGAGATATTTGATTTTGTCAATTTTTTTCCAAAATAGAATACTGTGCGGCGCACTTTATTTGAATTTAATAAATATTTTGTTTTTCCTCCAATAGTTTAGCACATTCTATTTGCTATGCGCCAACTAAATTCTTCCCCCATTAATACAAACGATCTCTCATCCTTAAAACAATATGAAAATTGCGCCCGCTTGCCCTCCACACTTGCTACGCATTATTCATACGTTTCGTTGTGAAAGCATCATTTTTGTTTTAAGAATTTATGAGTGCAATGCAAATAAATCACTTTCATTCGTACTTGCCACGCCACGTATAAAGTGTTTCACTAGCTGCATTGTTGTTGGCTTCAATTGCATTAAATATGCATGAACATACATACATACATACATTCCTACTATTTGTGTACTTTATTGCAAGTAGCAACCACGTTCCTGTTTTAGTTCCAACACAAATATGGTTGTTGTTTTTCTTGTTGTTGCAATAACGTGGCGTCTCGACATTAACATTCGCATTGTTCTCCATTTAAAATGCAATTAAAACTTTTTATCTTACAACAAACTTTACACTGCATGTCTACCTTTTTACACACTCTGTATCCCCCCGGTCCCCCCTTTCCGGCCCCATTTTTCCCCCTTGAACTCGACTGCGAAATGGTGTTGTAACAACAAATGATCATGAATATGTCATTTTTCTTATGTAAACGTTAAAAGCAAAACAATTTTGCATACATTTTTGTTAAGTCCAACAAGGGCCCTTTGGAACTATGAACATTTTTGCATATTTTCGTTATTTTTCAGTTAGCAAAGTTTTTATTGCAGATAATTTTCTTTTTTTTCATTTACTGCCTAGAAGCCTGCTTATAGACTCGTATCGGGGACAAAGTAACAAGAAGTTTAAGTTTTGGTTGATTCATTATGGTATTTACATATAAAAATATGTCACGGTTAAAATTTTACAAGAAATTTTTGTGTTGAACTGCAAAACTGTATGCATTTCTATTTAGTTGTAATATAAATATCGGGGACAAAGTAACAAGAAGTTTAAGTTTTGGTTGATTCATTATGGTATTTACATATAAAAATATGTCACGGGAAAAATTTTACAAGAAATTTTTGTGTTGAACTGCAAAACTGTATGCATTTCTATTTAGTTGTAATATAATTATAATTTTTGTTGCAAATATTTTGAATAATTGCTGTCAGTTGTTTTGATTAATAAGTTTTGCCACAGAGTAAATATTTTAAATGCGAAATAATAAATCAAAAACGGCGTTCACGAGTAGCCATGTATGTAGGGTGGTCCAAAAATACTTGCGAAAAATCAAAATCCAAATTTCAATGCTCTCACCTTCTAAGATTGTGCCATATCGGAAAATATATGTAAATAAAATAAAAAAGGATCCAAATCAGCCCACTTTTTGCCAGTTAAGAGCATTTAAAGACGGGAATGTTTACTTTCTTAAATTGATATCTCGAAAACGGCCGGACGACAAAAAATAAAAAAAGTCAAGGAAGCCTCTCTCGATTGGTTCTATACCATAAAAAATTTATGAAAAAATCAAAGAGGTGAAAGCCAAATGGTGTCCGATTTTGCGTGGAATGCCCCCATGATTCTATAGTACATACATCGTTCAGCCCGCTGAACAATTGCCTAAACATTTTAATTTAATTTCTTGCGATTTCTTGAATGAATAACATATATTTCAAAATTATTTATTCTAGCTAAGTATTTTCCCAGCCCGTACGCGAATATCAACATACACACATCATCCATGTATATATGTATGTACATATACATATATTTACGTTTATGTATTTACAAAAGAGTCTGATTTTAATCATAAAATATGTACCTTAATTCACAAAGGCCCTAACCAACACTTTTTTCAAAACTGCGTTTTTCACAGTTTTTAAAGTGTTAGTACTAAAACCAACGGAGTTGCATGCCACTTTTTAAAAAGTGTTTTGCTTCCCCTGTAAAATAAATAATTTGTTCGTTAGGGCCTTTGTGCATTAAGGTGACGATATAAACATATGTATGCGTACAGAACAAATTTCCTCACAAAAATTTTCATTTTCCGCACAAAAAAACTAAACTAAAGCTGCATTTAATGTTTAAGGTTTTAAGATATTTTTATACCCGAGCGCACTTGTGCACAAGGGTATATTAATTTTGTTCACATAACGGTTGTTTGTAACAGCCAAAACGAATCGAGATAGATATAGACAAATTTATACATAAATGCTCAGAATGAATAGAGAAATCGATTAAGCCATGTCTGTCTGCCCGTCCGTCCGTCTGTCCGTCCGTCCGTGTACACGATAACTCGAGCAAAAATTGAGATATCTCAACGAAATTTGGTATCCGTTAATCTAAGGTAGGTTGCTACTGAAAATGGGCGAAATCGGACAGTAACTACGCCCACTTCCCATATAACGGTAATTTCCAGAAATACGAAAACTGCGATATTTTAGTAACTAATGAAGATAATTCACTCAAAATTCATATCTACAATAATTTTCAGACGAAAAATAAGAATATTATAAATTTATGGAAAATGGGCGTAGCCACGCCCACTTATGGTTACATGTGTATATCTTGGTAACCGCTGCACCAATTTCTTCCAAACTTGGCACAGTTTTTGGCCTTGATACAGCATACTAAATGGCCGAAAATTTTAAAAATCGGACAATAACCACGCCCACATCCCATATAACGGTAATTTAGAGAAATACAAAATCTTCGATAAATCCGTAAATATTAAAGCTAATTTATTCAAAATTGATGCTTGCAACAATTCTTTACCAAGAAATATGTTTATGGTAAAATTTTGGAAAATGGGCGTGGCACCGCCCACTTATGATCACATATATGTATATCGGTAACCGTTCTAGCAATTTATACCAAACTCGGTATTTTTATTGCGCTTGCCACATTAAAGCAAAACGTTGAAAATAATTTAAATCGGACTAAAACTACGGCCGCTTTTCATATAACGGTAAATTTCAGAAATGCTTGAAACTGCAATATTTCGAAATTTAATACTTGCGCCGGGTATTTAATGTTCGGCTCCACCCGAACTTAGACTTTCTTACTTGTTTTTTTTTTTTAATTTCGTTCGCAAATAAATATTTGGTAAGTTTTCTAATTATAATAAGAAACTTTTTAAACTCTTCATCTCTACAAAATTCTTGCCCTTGAAATTCAAAAAGTCACTGACTTATCAAACGCCCTTGTATATTTCTACGTGGCGAATAGAACATTTTAATTAATGAGAGATAAAGAAGTTTATTATGTATGTATGAAGCAAAAGGCAGAAAAAAATGTTCATGTTACACAAAAAATATCGGCCTGAGTTGGCCTAAGTACAAATATGTTTGGAAATAATGACGTTAAGCTGATGTCACATAAAACTTTTGCTTCGCTTTACGTGACAGATTCGCTTTGACAGATAAGATGAATTGTATGAAAATGCACAAAGCATGCCACATAAATCGTTGAAGCGGCAGCGCGAAGCGAAAAGATGGTCAACTCCCATCTTTTTGCGCGCTTTGACAATCAGCCGATTTAATATTTATTTTATTTCGTCCAAATTCGGGTTTTCATGCAGAAACATAAAACTTAATTACATTGCTGATAAGTTTAAATCAAAATAATTAAAATCCACAGCAACTTTGATGAGTAAAAAAGCGGTACAACGTTGTTTTCTTGGCGTTCATTGTGGCATACCTTTTGCGTCTGGCGCTTTGCTGGCAAAGTTATAAATGTCACGCAAAGCTACAAAGTTTTATCTGGCATCAGCTTTAGGCCGGCTTGATGTCAGCTGTCATTTGTTAATATTCACATGAATTATATGCGAATGCAAACGTATTGTAATAAACCCCAAACCATTGCATCTGCGTCTATAAGGCCATATACATATATTTACAATATCTTGGGTGTAATTAGTATGAATTATTGCGAAATTTATTAGTTACATTAGTTGGAGCCCAATTGCACCCGGCTTCATACACTTAATAACCTGACACATACTTGCACACGCATTAATAGTATGTACGTATGCATTGTAATTATGTTGTTGCTCCCCAGCTTCATTTCTACCCACATTTCACACTTGCCTTCGCATTGTACGGTGATGTTCTATCACAATTCGTAGAATGGCTTGTATTATTTGCTGTAACATCGCCACTTGTCGGCGCTGTCTCGCTTTTGTTGCTATTGTTGCTGCTGCTTTTGTTGTTGGCAGATGTTGTTGCAATCGCTGAAGTGGTTCCTATCGTTTGTGGTGCTGTTGTTGTTGTTATTATATTATTAGCAACATCTTTGGTATGTTCGCTTTGTGTGTGGCGCTCCAGTGCCGCTGGATTGGGGAATATCTTGAAGCAGACATTACACAAATGCGTTTGCGGATGTAAACCTGAGCGGAGAGGTGAAAGGAGATAAATAAAAAAATAGAAATATAGAAACATATTAACGTAGTAAGTATTGAAGTATGTATTAAAGTTTAAATACTGTAAATGGAATTTTATAATAAAAAACAAATACGGCAAATTAATTGATGTACATATGTAAGTGATTTTCAGGGCAGCACATGGGACTCAAAGGTGGGCTTAGTATCGGTGTGAGAAAAAACGTAACTGGTACAGTCAGGAAGATAACAATGTCGAAGTTTAAACGACCTTATTTTCTTAAAACACGAAAAAGTAGTAGGAAAGGTGTCTAAACTAAAAGCGACTAAAACCAAAGTTTAACCAGTGATTGTAGAATATAATAAGGATAATAGGTTAGGATCGCTTATCGCGGCAGACCTCACTAGGGAATTCACTTAGATATTAACTATATTGTGTTACCACATTACACAAATTTTTTGCACGAAAACTACAGGTTCCCTGTCTTACAGTGAGAGAAGAGCTGGGAACTGGGAGAAGGAAGTGCTAAGATGATTCCGCCTCGTCTTCCAGGCGTGACGATATTAAGTCGCACCGCCTGAGTTCCAAAAGGACAATGTCCAGTCAGTACCCATGTAAGACTCGAGAACTGGCGCTTAGCCAGCTGCAGGAACTCTCTTGACCGTCAGCGGTTTTCGCCCAGTGCCCGTTGAGTTGACTGTTGGCCGCAGGTTGCCAACGAAACTTCTGTGCCCTCCCCCCGTCCGAGGTGATGGCCTCGAGGGTGTTCTACCTAGCCAATTTATCAGGCCTGCAGTTTCCAGTAATGTCACTGTGTCCTGCGATCCCGGATCAGCTGGATTTGAAAGTATTCCGAGGCGGTTGAAGGAGAGGTCAGGCATTCACCAATCAGTTTCGATAGTACCATTAGCGATGCCAGCGCCTCGATTTCCGCTTGGCTATCAGAGTAGATATATATCCTTCTAGTCAGCAAAACATTGGTGCATAACCAATCGGTTATCTCTTCTATAGCGGCCACCTCCGCCAGAAATACGCTGCAGAGATCTGGCAGTCTGAACATAGGATTTACTGAGAGTTTCTCATCCAACTCTACTGCACGGCTTTGATCCGTCCGTGAAGATGTTTATTTGACCTCTACTCCAGAGACTTCCAAAGTCCCAGCCTCAGAACACTCCGATCCATTTATTTCGGTAGGAAGTCGAAGCTTTTGAGAGTTGTCGTCTGCAGGGTTGGAAGAGAACCCACAACTTTTGACCCTTATGGCTGAACGAACTGCCGCAACTTTTCCCGCTCCGCTAATACCAACTAGGGCCGCCCTCATCTAAGATTGTTAAGTAATTACGATAAAATGCACTAAACCAGTTTTTCAGACAGTCAATCAGCATCTAACTAAATGCGAAACATACGATGATTCCGGATGTAGAGCATAACACCCACACGTTGGCAAAGGTTTTTAATCTCCAAACACAATTCTTTTGCATTCGGCTAAAGCAGCTCACGACTTCCGGTGTTTACGCCAAGTATACTCTGGGTAGAAACCGAACGCCCGTGACCTGTGCCGGAAGCCGTGTGATTTTAAAGTTTTTTTGGTCACCCCAAGCAGATCTCGGTTTTAAGCGGATCATTGGTATTCCAGATCTGCGAGATGCCCATGTCCACCGCGTGAGATAGATTTTGTGCAGATCCGCACCTCGTTACTTCATCTTTTGTCTCCTTTTAAGGGAAAAGAGGCTAGTTTCGAATAAAACACAAATTGAGGCCAACTCTCTCCTACACTCTCTCACTAGTCGCGACCTAATTGAGGATGTTTAGTGTCTGATTTGCCACTATCTGAGTAAACGCACCCCTGCACTGCCGCGGGTGGTGTAATGTTTTACACTCCTACTTTACCGCCTCCTAAATTGCAGACATTTGCGCCTTGAAAACGCGTGCTTGGGTAAGCCAAAGAATTGCATTAAGTTAAGCTAGTCAATGAAAATCCCCGGACCTATCCGGATATCGCCTTTGCTACGCTTGTAAGGACAGTTATGCTGTAAAAGCACAGAGTCTTCGGCGAATTCAGAGAGTGCCACCTGAGAATTTTCGTGGTTGGACCAGGTCTTGGGGGTCTTTTGGAAGAGCTTTTATATCATTATTTTATAAAGAGAACAGCTTATCTTTCAGTAGCCTAAGGATCGCAATCTAGTTGCGCTTGTGGTATCGCTACTTGATCGAGTAGATCGTCAGTGCGCTCTCTCGTAATAATTACTACCCCGCGCCAATAGTATTGGTTACCAGATGCATTAAGAGGCGAGTAACTATTTTGAACAATTTATGTAGCTATTAGAGCTCTAGATACCCGGGTATCGAGCATTGCGAGTAGCTCGATACTCGCTCGAAACTCGTTCATTGCTCAACCGTTTAAATGTTTGTTCAAAATTTTCGAGTTTTTGAACAATTTCATAAACAAAAGAAAATTTGTGAATTGTATTTGTCGGCAGCTGCTTTCTAATTCATGTTAAATAAATTATATTATTAAACACCAATGTAACCATGATAAAAACATTACAAGGTAAATTCATTCTCTCATTTCGTCGGCCATGATTTTTTTCTGACGTTTTCCAACATTTTAAAATCATATAAAATTGAAAATAAAAAAATTAAATTGTTCACAATTGTTGTTGTTTGAGATTGGAAATGAGAATGTGTGTGTGAGTTTGAGTTTTGATTTTAAAATTATATTGTTGGCAAACGTCAGACTGCCTCTCAATGGTTTTACCTTGTTATGTTTTTATCATGAATGTAACAATCTTTGCATTATATATCAATAATTTGAAAAATTTAAAAAGTTGCTACCAAAAATGTCAATATAATAAAAAAAAACATTGCTCAAATTACTCGAAAAAACTCGAATTGCTCGAGCTCATGCTCGAAAGTTTTCTAGTAATGAGCATTGAACAAGTGTGCGAGTACTCGCTGCTCATATACCCGGGCTGTTTGAAAATGTGCGAACAAAATCGAGAGCTCTAGTAGCTATATAATTTTCTTCACCATGAAAAATGTTTCCATACCCCAGTGCTGTTAATTTTCACTTCAATTACCAAAGGCAGCATAGTATTTTTTCAAATGAAGATTTCTTAAGCTACATATAATTTTACCGTCAATATAATTTCAATGATCATAAATTTTTTTCAACAAAAAAGAGTAGTGACATGAAATCTGGCAATACAGAAAACCTCCAAGGCAATAATCTGAAATGGGATGAGCGTGCGAATGCTTACACGCATAGTATATACTGGTACATATGTTCTTATTTATATTTAAATTTAATACAGCCCTACACTTTAGCAACAGATCTTGCATGATTCTTCTTAGTTTCGTTAAATTAAAAAAGAAAAAATCGCAGCAAGCAGCGATTGATTCATGCGTCAGCGCAGCTGACTAGCTGCGAACGAACCCCTTCTTCTACCGCGCCACTACGCACTTTCACGCGCTCTTTCTCTTCGCACAATAAAGTGATTTCCTGCACACAAAGCTATTTGCGTGCGACTATAAATCGAATTATGCCAGAAAAGCGCGCGGAAAATAAGACTAGGCACTTGCTGAGCGAGCGCGCCGCTGACAAGGTCAAAGGGCACAGACCAAAAGTCTTTGTCATTTTCGCGCAGATGTGACATGAGCGGCTAAATGACACATTGACAAGAAATACGAGCTAGCAGCGGCAAAGCGAAGTACAATTGAAATGAAATGAAATGAAGTGACAGCGTCAACCACAGAGCGGATTATAAGAGGAAGATGTTGGATACCACAAGCAAATAAATTTCTTTAACATAACTAGAAGAAAGAAGTCGCAGAAGCCTATAGAATTAAGTGCGCTCACGCTTGCTAATTAAGTACACTGCTTTTCCTTGTTCTACGACAGCGGGAGTTCAGCACCGACTGACCTTCTTTGACAACAAAGCGCTTTATATCTATGCAAGCGGAGCGATCGTTGGCAATGAAATTAAGTGTTTGGACTTTTTGCGTTTTTTTTCACTCTTCAATTACGCATTAAATATGCAATCCTTCTTCTTTCTCCCATAGTAAAATTCTTCATTTAGGCTACCCTCAC